ACACAAACCCACGGTTGCAGCAGTGCATCTAACATTCAAGCTGAATTTAAAAGAGGACAAGGAATGAAAGATATAATGTTGATGCCAGATGGATCTTGGCTGAAAGCAAAGAATGCCAGAAAGATGTCTACCTGTGTTTTGCTGAGTATTCAAAAGCATTCAACTGTGTAAATCATATAACAAATTATGGATAACACTATGAAGAATGGAATCTCCAAGACATTTCATTGTTTTCTACTTGTGCCCATGTGGAATCTATCCATAGATTACGAGAGAGTCATTTGAACAGAAAAAGGGGCTACTGCATGACTTAAAAGAAGGAAAGGTGTGTATCAGAGTTGTATCATTTTCCCATTACTTATTCAATCTACATGCTGAGCAAATAATCTGGACTATATGAAGAATGCAGCAACATGATTGGAGGAAGACTCGCTAATCTGAGATACACAGATGATATAAACATTGTTTGCTAAAAGCAAACAGGATTTGAAGCACTTACTGACGAGGATCAAGGACTACAGTCTTCAGTATGGATTATAACTCAACATAGAGAAAACAAAATTCCCCACACTAGGCTAATATGCAATACCATGATAAATTAAGGAAATATTGAAGTTGTCAAGAAGTTCATTTACTTGGATCCATAGGCAATGTCCATAAACACAGTCGTCATGAAATCAAATGATGTATCACAATGGGCAAATCTGCTGCAAAGACCTCTTTAAAGTGCTAAAAAATAAAAAATGTTACTTTAAGGACTAAGGTGAGCCTGACTCAGTCTAGGTATTGTCTATCACGTCATCTACACGCAAAAGCTAGACAATGAGTAAGAAAGACCAAGGAATAATGCCTTTGAATGATGGTATTGGAGAAGAATACTGAAGATACTATAGATTGTCAGAAAACAAACAAATCTGTCTTAGGTGACGTACAACCAGAACACTCTTGAGAAACACGGAAGACAACACTTTGTCTCATGTACTTTGGACATGTGATCAGGAGGGGCCAGTCTCTAGAGAAGGACATCATGATCCTAGTTAGTAAAGTAGAGAGTCAGAGAAAAAGAAGAAGACCCTTAAAACAAGATGGACTGACACAGTGGCCACAACAACGGGTTCAAACACAGCAATAGTGTGAGAATGGTGTAGGATTGGGCAGGATTTTCTTCTGTTGTGCACAGAGTCGTTATGAGTTGGGACCAACCTGAATGTGCTTAACAACACCAACACCACTTCTAGTAAAGATGTGAAATAAATGTGACTGACAGTGGATGGATTATTTGTGCCTGTTCCACATTTTAGAAGAAAAGTATTTAGATTTTCACCACTAAGTGTCCTCGTACTAAATAAGTCTTAAAGGGGCAATAGCATGGAATGAAATGGGTGCCCCCAAATATATTATCAACCTATGGAGGCCATAATTCTCAGTGATTTGTGAGTTATGTAACGAGGTACTGTGTCGTTGTTAAGAATCATCAAGTCAATTCCAACTCATAGCGTGCCTGTATAGAGGTTTGGAGCTTTTTAAAATATTTGCTGGGGCACAAAGCCTCATAATTCTCCCTCTGAGTGGTTAGTGGACTCAACCTTGTGATGCAGTTTAGCAATTATGAAATAATGTAATTTGGAAGCATGTGATGATGTAATCATCCTCCATGATGTAATAGGCTGTAACTATCCTCCATTGTATAATTGAAGATGTGCTGTACATCCTGGCTTCTACATGTAAGAGAAGCAGAATTCTGTTATGTGAATGAGCATTAGGCTGTTGGTTAGACTAACATAGCAGGATTTCAGTGCGATGCAACACTCCTATTAGGAAGATTTCCTGGGGTGTGCCCGGCATCATCTTTTCTCTTACATGAGATAAAAAGAGAAGTGAGCAGAAAGGGCCCACAGACGTAATACTACTGTATTTCATACTATGTTGTTGTTGTTATGTGCCGTGGAGTCGGTTCCGACTCGTAGCGACCCTGAATAGGGTTTCCGAGGCTTTTAATCTTTACGGGAGCAGAATGCCTCATCTTTCTCCCGTGGAGCAGCTGGTAGTTTCGAACTGCTGACCTTGCGGTTCACAGCCCGATTCGTAACCACTACGCTACCAGAGCTCCTTCATATTATACTTCATTCTATACAACATGAAAATTGGTAAAGAACTAAGCAAAGTTAGATAACGAACTATACTTACTTCCTTCTTAAGTTCATTGAGGCTGTGAGTGATTTTCAATATGTGGAGTTCTAGTTCCTCAACGATGCTTTTTGTTTTCTTGCTTTGCTGAAAAAAATTTTTAAATATATATGTGGTGTTACCTCATTTTAAAAATTTTGAATTGGTATTTCGAATTTTACTTGAACTACAAAATATATTAATATTTAAATATCATTTGATCTATAAGAAAAATAGATTTCTAACAACTCTCCTGTTTATAATGAAACTTACAATGAAAGCACAAAATATTATTTACCAATCCCACTCTAACAAGTGAATTCTACTTTCCCTTACCCGTTAACCATGTCTAAAACAAATCTGTTTTATTTTCTACCCTTCATTTTTAATCCAGTTAAAAATGAAAAGTCCTATTCGTCTTCATCTTACATAAATGCCTTTCTCATGGGGTTCTTACATCTAAATTAGACCTTTTTACTCTCCCTGGTGTGACACTGTAGGATAAACACTGGACTACTATTCGAAAGGTCAGCAGTTCAAACCTACCAGCTGCTTCTTGGAAACCCTAAACCTGATTACTATGAGTTGGAACCTACTCAACAGCATTTACAACAATGACAATCTCCTTAATTATTCTAGTTTGCAATTATAAATGTCTCTGACTTTTTAACAACTCTGTCTTCCCCAGCAGAACAATGTCAGCTCCTGGACCACTATAAGTCAGGATCTATTTGGTTCAGCAGCTACCTCACAGTAGTCTGGCACAGCCCAGGGCAGGTAGTAGGCGTTAAATTCTCTAAATGAATAAATCCGAGTTAAATGTCAGTAAGTTCATGAAGCCATCCTGATTCCTCTCCCTACATGTAAACTCATCTTCCTTCAAAGCCTTTCAACACACAGTCTATATCTTCTCTTTGAATGCTTATAAAACGTGTACTTATTTTACCCCTTCTCACATTTTTCTAGATTGCGAAATTCTTGCAGGTAAAGCTTTTATCTGACTCATCATCTTTAGCTTTCCAGTGGCTGGCATACACAAAGCACTTAGTATTTGCTGAAAAAAAAAATGAATGAATGAGCAACACATCTGACATGTAGAATAGATGCCCGAGTGCTTGTAAAATACGTGAAAGGGGCTAACTGCAAATCTAAGTATTGATAGAATCTGAATTTCCAATTCAGAGAGCATTTCATCACAAGGAACTCTTTGTACTGAATGTTGGACTGAAAATATTTAACACAGATGCAATCTTCAGCTCAGACTAGATCCACACAGACAAATCAAACTAAAGACAAAGTGTTCCTCATATCCCTTACACCATTCTGCTCTAGGGCAAGTTTTCCAGTTAACATGAACGCTTACTCTATTTTGATGCCAAGAAAACATTTGAGACATCTACGATTTAAATGTATTCTTCATCCATAAATCAGTCTATTTGTAAAGAAGTAGACTGCTTCCTTCTTCACACTTAACCATTCATGCTTCTCCTTTAGCCTCGCTGCCATGTCTCCCAGAGTTCTAGTTATGCTTTATGTTAGAACCATGTTAAATACTCGTTAGAAATAGCCTGGGCCTAAGAAACAAATAAATAGTGCCAAAGATACATCTCAGACCTCCGTCCTCTCTCAGCTACAATGTTGTAATCTACCTTTATGATAAGAGATCAAATATCCATTTCCAATGTTTTTACTTCTGTCAATCTTTACCACGCTTGTCCAAATGGCTTCCCATGTCTAAAATGTACCAGCATCGTATTTAAGGTCCTATATGTGCCCACCAATCTCAGACCAGGAATCTGTGCAAGGTTGAAAAGTCTTTTACCTGCCGGTTGGATCTACCCTTGTCTTCATTTCAACTAGACCTCAGTAAGTTTTCTAAAGTGTTGTGTCTGTAAGTCAGCTGCCATCAGAGTTAAGAACTGTGCACATCTGAATGGCTTTGGCAGTAAGACTCGGGTCCCAAGAAACTCTAGGTGGAGACCTACTCCTCGGCTCTTCATTCTGAAGAAGTATTTTGGGAAGGAACTTTCCAGAGGTGAGTTTGGTGGAAGAGAGGGGACACCAAGATAAACTAGTGACAGAAGCATAGAGCCCAGGCTGGCCAGAGTGAGGGCTGGACAACAGAGAATTTTGGGCCAACCAGAAAGGAAAGATAGACTGTTTTGCTATTCTCTGGACCAAATTCACAAGGCTAGTGATATTAGCTTTCACATTTCTCAAGGCATTAGGGAAAAGCTATTAATCCAGATTTACTTTCATGAAAAACGGTTCTTACAGCTTGAATCCACACAGAAACCAACTGCTGCAGTTCCATTCTCGCCTGAGTTGACAATTCCAAGATGCGTTCCCTGTGATTATGGCTGGTGTAGGCAGAATCAGTGAAGTTCTCTGTATGCTCCCAGATGACTTCCAATGTTGCAGAAAGAGTCTCTTTGGACTGAAAATAAAGATTCTCCCGAAGGGCTTCAATATTCATCTGAGAAGAAAAAGGATATACATTCACATGAGTCAATACTTTCGCTCAAATCACAATGGACTATAATTTCTAATAATGCCTGGGAAGGCACGAACCATTCCTTTCTGTGTCTGAAGGCTGAGGAAAATTACAGCGTCCGGCGATGACCACATTGTCTACTAGGCCAGGACACATTGCTCAGGAGACACCAACAGCCACGCAGCAGCAGTTCATTCCTAACGTAATTAATACAATCAAATGCCTAGGACATGTGTATCAAGGCAACCAGAACATCAACATGCACCAACCAGTATGGAAAAGTGAGCTAGCCTCCAGGTAAAGGCTAAGTCATCTGACCAATGCCTAGGCAAAGTTCTAGAAGGTATGATACACCCAAACGTGAATGTGTGCTGAGCCCAAGGGGAAGGAAGTGAAAGGTGTAGGCTGTGGGAGGGACGGAGAAATGCCTCAGCTTTTCCTTCATTAATTCAACAACACTCTTTCAGATACTAACTAGTATCCCTGCACTTTCTCTTACGTCTCTAACACACCACTCTGACCAAAGCTTCCTCCACATGGTGGCTGGTTTAATCTCCCTCAAATGTAAAGCTTCTGATTTGCCACATTCCTCTCACTGGCTCCTCACTACCTAGAGAAATTAAGCCCAAACTCCTCTAGTGTAGCACAAACCCCTTCACTGTCTCATTCTGACCTCCCTCAGAGTAACAGTCTATCTCACTCTCCACACGGGAAACAGTCTTCTAGTTCAGCCATGCAGTGCTTAGATTTCTGAATGTGTGATGGGCAGTCTTTCACTTAGCTTTCTAAGCTACGCTATGGACAGAACCTCATTTCACCTATAGCCCATGAAATACATCACATACAACTTGGCCAAGAGGCAACAGCACTAATGGTTATAGTGTGGCCACGAAGAACATGATGATAAGGACAGCCTATACTTCTTTAACACCTTAAGTCCTTTCACAAATATTATTTCAGGTTAACTCTTCTTTTTTTTTTATTAAGTTTTTATTGTGAATTGAGTGATAGTTTACATAGGAGAACATCGTTTTTTGTGCTCATCCTATCGTATTTTGTGTTTCATTGCAATGATTACAACCGCCTCTGTGTATCATCATTCAACAGTATTTGCTTCTATTCCCTGTTTTTTGTTGTTGTTTTTGGGGGGTTTTTTGGGGGGCGGGTGATTGGCCACAAAAACACTCAGGAATACATAATCATTTAAAGAACCAAAGGGCACATTCTGCAAGGCTGTCTCCTGGCTGCCAGCACACAGCTTTCTCTTTCCATGAGTCTAGAGTCCTCAGCTGCTCCCTTTCTCCATGTCCTCATCTCTGCCTCCATCTTTGGTGTCACTGCTTCTCTGGATAGGGTCCCACATTCTGCTTATGCTCTTCTCCCTTGATGGTCCTAGGGTCCTCTATTCCTGGACTGTAAGATTAACTGCTCCCCACTTTTTGTTACAAAGCTTCTACCTTTACAGTTGTGACAGTCACAATTAGTCATGATAACAATTACTCACTATTGAATCATAAGAATCTTAGCCCCATCTCCTTTCACCAGATCTGTCTAGACAAGATGAAAACTATTCAGTGGGGATTCTACCTTCTCTCACACACTCTGACTAAACTCTGCCTTGAAAACTTATAAGCCAGTCACTTTGTCTTTATAGTCACCCCCACTCCCACCCCATTTTAGGTAGCCAATGTCTAAGTTGCCTGTCCCTATTAACTCTGTGTACAGAGGGGACAGGATTGATCCTTGATGTGAAGACTCCTTCCCTCTCAGTTGGTATTTTGAGCTACTACAACCATAAGTATAGGTCAGGTTCATCAAACTGTAGCAATCAGGTTAACTCTTTACACATTTTTATATGACCTATGAAAATGCCCAATTTCAGGAAGGTCATAAGGCTGGAGGGTTTCTCCTTTTCTTGGCCATCACTCCAGTCATTGTTCCAGCCTAGGTAGGCAGGAAGATTTTTTTTTTTTAAGCTAAGAGAGAACATGGACAATGAGTATGGGATTGACAATGCTGTATAAGAACTCGAGAATTTAAACAGAATTTAAATTAAAACACAAATATCAGTCATGCTGAGCCAATAGCATTTATGTTAAGGCTTTGAATTGTCCTTTTAGATAGACTTGATGGCACCTAACAACAATAAGATAGATTATATACATATTTTTAGACAGCTATTTGGTAGAATTTTTTAGTTTTGTTTATGCCATTCATTTAAATGGTTTCATAAGATTTATTAATATATTCACAGTAACAAATATAGTAATATATCCACTGTCTCTTTATAGATTACATTTTCTATCAGAAAAAAAAAAAAAAAAAGATGCAAAAAAGATGACCACTGTCTGATGAGGCTGAGCCAATTCAATCTCTACAAGGCCTGGTCCACAAAGGGTCTGCAGTAGCCACAGGCACAGAACCACAGGCAGCTGGGCAGGGGCATTTTGCCATCTCTCTGGCTTCTGAGGAGCAGTCCTGCTCCAAAATAGTAGGGATTGTGGAGTCCGACTGTTGTTGTTAAGTGTCACTGAGTTGGTTCCAACCCATAGCGACCCTGTATAGGGTTGCCAAAGGAGCGCCTAGTGAGTTTAAACTGCCAACCTTGCAGTTCAAAGTGACCTTGTAATTGAGTACTTATCCTACTGCACCACACCAGGCTTAAGACTGCTTGGTTTTAAATTCCAACTCTGACACTTATTAATCAGCAAGTTACTTAATCTCTCTTTCTCAGTCTGCTCAATGGTAAAATGGGGATAATTACAATAGTTTCTACTTCCTAAGTTCTTATAAGGATTTTGAGGCACTCACACATTTAAAGCACTCAGAATAGGGCAAGCGCTTAATAGATTGTTTTAATTATAATTAGTACTACTTATTATTACCACAATTTCTAAGTACTAGACCTACAGCATGAAAAAGTTAACAATTCCAGCAGAAATGATTTGCTACTTATCATCATCCATGGGCAATATGACACTGCCCAATTCCCATCATTTTGGCTAAATAAGGCCAAGGTGGCTACTATAACCCGAGATCAGTGTTCTTTTATATGCACGACTCTAAGGCAAATGTGGAGTCCTCATGTGGCACTGTAGGATAAGCACTGAACTGCTAACCACAGGTCAGCAATTCAAACCCACCAGCCGCTCCTCGGAAATCCTATACAGGGTTGCTATGAGTCAGAACTGACTCAATGTCACTTAACAACGGCAACCAGGCAAATATTATTGAATGTTAGATTTGTATGTAGAGGCAATGTTTTAAAGAAACAGGTCTGCTTTTGTGAAACATCTATTCTAAAGCATACAAAAAATGTGATACTATATAAAAGACTTCTGATAGTATAGTGGTTACGAATTGGGTTGTTAAAACTCAACGTCAGCAGTTCGAAACTACCAGCTGTTCAGCGGGAGAAAGATGAGGCGTTCTGCTCCCGTAAAGATTTACAGCCTTGGAAACCCTGTACAGGGTCACTACGAGTCTGAACCAACTCCACGGCACATAACCACCACCACCATATAAAAGAAAGTCTTCTAACTTGAAAAGAAAAAAATATATATTCTTTTTATTCTTACCTTGAATTCTTTAATTAAGCTAAAAATACTGATAGATGAAACATCGGTCCCTCCATTTGGCTTAAAGTCAGTCACAATTTCAATAACCTTATCCAATGCCATTTTCATTCGGTCAAAGACTCCTTCTTTGTTCTTATGGGCTGATTCGCAGTTTGGATGCCTGAGGCATGTCTTCAAATAAATTGAAAATTTTCATTTTAACATTTGACCCATATCTTAATCCATAAAAGATTACACAGAAGATGTCATGCTAATAAAAATAGTTCTTTACCAAAATCTGCTGGATCCCTGGCTCACCCCGCTGCTTCTCCTCACTAAAAGTGGAAGCAGGATGAGTAAAAAGCGATAGCAGTGTTAAGCACAAAACTCAGAGTGCAGAGCTGTGTCTGCACATTCCAACACATTTACTTCAAATTCCCAGGAAAAAAAACCACAAAAGCACCTATATCTTTATTGTGATTAAAACTATCTTAAAAAGGTTTTATAAGTACAAGTAAGAACTATGCAAGAATGAAGAAAAGTTAACACATATGAAAAATGACTGAGGGTGGAATTTGATTTTCTAAAAATGATGTAAATAAAGAACTCAGAGGCGCAGAAATGAGCCCTGCCTTCCCCGTGGGCCCCACTGATAATCCAGTGTTTTTGTGGCCTCTCAGATCCTAGTGTAGACTAAGTACTCTGAGCAAAACAGTTACAAGTAATTCTATAGAAACTGCTAAACTGTTATGGTGAGACTTGTTAGTTGATTCTAGAACTGTACCAATTTGCTGGCCAGCTGCTGTTTGGAATTACAAACTCTTGATTATATTTTTGTTTTAAAAGCAGAGTAAGGAATTCAAGGTATGAATTAGAGGCATAAATCAACTAAGGCTGACATAAAACTCCATCGTTATTTAACTAGTTCTAACTTGGTGAGCTTTTTCTAGAGCATATGTGCTGGCTTCCCAACGAGACCAGCAAAACCCTGCAGGCAGTGGCCATGTCTGGAAGGCCACAGCACTGAAGCCACCACAGTTTAGTTACTCAATCACACTGGACTTGTAGCCCAATCACTGTTTGGAGCTGGGGAAAGAACCTGGCATTCTTTCTAAAGAGTAACTGAGATTTGATTCTCATGGCCTATGTTCCAAGTTATCATCTTTAGCTTCTTTAAAAAATGAAATACATAAAATTGATGTACTTTCCATCCTGTTTTCCCATTCTTAAGTTGCACCACAGTAGATTTTCATACCTTTGAAGCTGTGAGAAGCATCATTGTACATTTCTCAAGAACTGCTCTTGCTGCTGCCATTTTTGCCTTTTTCTTTTCATCTTTCAAATCCTAAAAATGAAATAAAATCACTGAGGAGTCTAGAGTCAGGAAATCATTCAGTTTCTTGAAAAATCACTTACTCAGTAATAAGAGAAGTCACTTTAAGATAATACAATAGCTTTCTGATAGGACTACAAATTGGTCCTACTTTTGGAAATCAAATTGGAAATACTGATCAAGCGTTTCCAAACATGTTCACTATGTCACTGCTGTTGTTAAGTGTCATTGAGTCAGTTTTGACTCATAGAGACTCTGTATGGGGTTTTCAAGGAGCATCTGATGTTTAAACCACAGACCTTGGGGTTAGCAGTACAGTGCTTATCCTACAGCACCTAGCTCTGGAAATCTATCTCATGGGAATAAGAACTAAATCAGAAATCAGTTGGTATGCTACCTGTATATATAAATGCATGCATTCCTTTATGCTGTTGTTGTTGTTGTTAAATGCCATTGAATCGGTTCCAACTCACAGCAACCCTGTACAGTTTCTGAGAAGCAGCTGGTGAGTTTGAACAGTTGACTTGCGGCCCAGTGCTTATCACACTGGGCCACACTCACAGCATGTTTTAATCCTGAAAAATCAGAAACTGACGCGTTAAATAATATATGATTAAGTAATTCCCACATTATATATACGCATATATAAATCCATTTGTTCATAGCATATTATAATACTGAAAATCAGAAACTTCAATGTTAATAATAAATTTAAAAATATAAATTTACTTACAGAATATTTTGTGTAAATTTAAATATTTATGAGATAAGAGCTGTGATAATACTTATCTAACATTACAGAGTAAGGTTTTACAAAATGCCACGTCTTCAATCTAAATGCTCCAACACAACCCAAATGGAAAGAAACAGCTGAATTTACAATGCGTAATAAAGCGCGGAGCTGAGACATACAGGGGCAGCAACCAAATGGTTCATGTTCTCACCACTCAGCGCATATGAGATTCTCATGCCCACGTGGACACAACTCTTAACTAGAAGACCCCAACCTTCATTAGTTAAAAATGACTTATTTATTGAGCATCTTTGACTAGTATTTGCTACAAGGCAGAAGCGTAGAAACCAGTTCTTTCAGGAACCATGTGTAATTAATCCCACTGCACTGTTTATTCCTCTCACCATGAGGTTGCTTGTCCTAAACAAAACCAAAGCAGTTGCTGGCAAGTTGATTTCAATTCATGGTGACCTTACATGCTGCAGAATACACTACATTCCATAGGATTTTCATGGCTGTGCCCTTTCAGAAGCAGACTGACAGGCCTTTTATCCAAGATGTTGCCGAGTGGGTTTGAACTGCCAAAATTCCACTTAGTAGTTAAGCAGTTAACTGTGCCATCCAGGGTCTCTTATAACTTAGCTGTTGTTAAGTGTTGTCAAGTTGGTTCCAACTCATAACGACCTTGTATAGGCTTCTGAGGAGTGGCTGGTAAGTTTGAACCTGATTCTTCAGTTCAACTGGACCTTGAAGGCAAGTGCTCAACCTATAGCATCATGCTGTTGTTAGGCGCCATCAAGTTGGTACTGACTCAAAGCGACCCTATGCACAACAGAATTAAACAGTGTCAGGTTCTGGGCCAACCTCACAATCATTGCTATGCCTGAGCTCATCACTGCTGCCATGGTGCTAATCCACCTTGTTGGGGGTTTCCCTCTTTTTCTCCATCCCTCCACTTTGCCAAACATGATATCCTTCTTCAGTGACTGGTCCCTCCTGACAATATGTCCAAAGTATGAGAGACAAAGTCTGGCCAGCCTGGCTTCCAAGGAGCATTCTGGCTGTACTTCTTCCTAGACAGATTT